CTGAACAAAATGGGATTAAAAAAAACACAATATGGATTGTCAGCCCAAGGTTACTGCACAATCAGAGTGAATAGTTAAGTCATAATGTAAATATTTTTACTTCAGGTGTTTGTAAAAGTAATATAGAGAACAGGATATCTCAGAGGTGTTTAATGAAAGAATTAGGAATGGTTCCCTTGAAGGCCTCCAAATTAGATCTCGCTTAAGGTAGCAGCAAGGTAGCTTGCAAACTGTGAATATTTAGCACAGGAGAGAAAATATTTAATTGATTTCTGTCTCTCATCACAAAATAAGAGCCCTGGAAAAGTGCTAGCTACCATTCTTAGAGAGACCAGCAATTCCATCACCATAGAGATTTACCCTCCTGAGCTGCTGTTTTCCTGAGTCAGGGTTAACACTCTGGCTGGGCTGACTACTTCCAGGGCTTGGATCTACCTTCCCTTTGCAAAGAGCTTTTACTCTGGAAAGGTTAATCAGCCAATCTGGAGTTCAAACAAGACATGGAGAACAAATAGCACTTTGCAGTTTGTTCCGTCAATGGCAATAGATGGTATTAGTGCTACAGTACCTAGTCCCAGTCTGAAAAATACAGAGTACCTCATGGACAGGAGACCTACAGAAAACAGATTTTTGTAAAACAGGGTTATAAAATTGCTTACATATGCAATGTTTGATTAGTAGTTGTCTTCCTTCTTTTTTTTACTCTTGGGGTTTTAATTTTTTTCATTAGGTTGGTGTGAGTCACTATTGGTGAGAGTGCAGGAAGGGGTGTATTTTGAAGAAGGGAATATAAAGGCCAAGAGATAAGCTGCATGCATTCCAGATTCAGGGAGTATATTTTGGAAGATTTTGGCTCTCTCAAAGTGACAAACTGTAAATACAGTTAAAGTATTTTGATATTACAAGCCAATGGAGCTTTACTCTTTTGTGTTAGCTATCAATCAGCAGTCCTCAAAGAAATCAGTTTAAAAGGTTTCACAAAGACTTAGTATTTCCCTTGTTTTACTGAATTTGATTTTTTGTTTTGGAATTTTCTGCAGTGCACCTTGTCAGTATTTTGCTTAAAAATGATATTGCTGTAGGCTGGATGACAGCACAGAGCACAGCTGGAAAAGACACACTTTGCAAGCTCTTTCCTTGCCTTAAATATGCTCTGCAGGTTTGAGATAGCTTTCTGCACTTTTTGGGTGGCTCCTCCATGCTCCTCACAGGTGCCTGGCCAAGTGGCCATGCTGACATGTTAAAGCAGAAGAGAGAGAAGCTCCTCCTTTCTTCCTTCCCTACTTTTTCTTCTTAACAAGCCCTGGGCGGGAGCTGTGGCTTCTGGTGCATGTGCTGCACCCATGACCTGGCATCTGAGTAGCTCTGCTTAATCTACATGGGTGTAAGTAGGGCTTGTTTCTGCTGCCTGTTCCTTGCCCTATTGATGATAACAATCTAGCCTTTAGAGTGTTTTCTACTTGGCAAAATCACCCATAACCAACCATTGTTTAGATTAATGCTGACCTTGTAACTTGTGATGAACCCAAGACCTACGCAAACAGAAAGTGAATAGCCACAGTTGAAAAGTATCTTATCAGATATTTGAAAGAATAATAAACAAGAGGAAGTGGATAAAAGAATGCCTTTCAGTGAGACCTTGTTAAAATAGAGCTTCATGACCTGACTTCTGTGATGATAGATAGGTCCAGTCAAAGGTAACACTGAACCAATGCTGCTGTACTTTCTTTGAGGTAGTTGCAGTACCTCTGTCACCTGACCTGTACTGGCACAAGGATGTCCACATCATTGTCCCAGGTGTACTGCCTAGAATCATCTCATGCCTGCTTTGAGCAGCCTGGGTGATATTGTTGCACTTTTATTACTATATATTTGTAAAATACATTTACATAATTATACCTTGACACAGAGTGTAATAACTGAACATTTATTGTCTTTGCAGTGTTTGGTTTGGGAATAATTTACAATTTCCCTGCAATTTCAAGGACGGTGCTGCAGAAAAAAAGACTTTGAAATTCAGATTTTCTTTCACTGTGTAAGTCCCCTGTTGCTTTTGGGTCCAGGAGCCACGTTCAAGCTGTTTGTCAGACTTTTGCCTTTGGAGAAGGGCTTGTCAAGGCAGGTGCAGAAGGCCTCACCTGGCATTAGTATACCTGAACTGCCAAAAACCACCATGGTAAATAAAGTAGTAGCAGCTCTGCTCTGTCTCCAATGCTGCCTTTGTGGCCTCCTTTGACGTGCTTCTTGTTTTAAATGTTTTAAACTGCAAGACCAGTCCAAGGCATAGAATTGATCTAAATGCTCATCTAAACATCTAAAGCCTTAAGGTTAAATCAAGCTGTAACTATTAATGTGAGTAGTTCTGTTGATGTCGGTGGGTTTTCTCACTTAAGCATACTAGATTTGATAGCTAGGTTAGAGATTATCAAGGTTTTAAACTGTTTAAGGGGGGAAAATCCCCAACCAAATGGAAGCTCTTGGTGCCCTTTAAACTGAAGCAGTGCTTGTTGGGTTTTTTGGGGACCAGGGAGGGACTCAGGAAACAAGAAGCATCTGGAAATATAAGCTGAGCAATGTTTTTGCTTTCTAAACTTCTGTTTAAGTGTAATAACTAATGAACTGCATGGGGACACCAAGGTGTGTAAGCACACACCTCTGAAGCCACCTGGGCTTCTGGCTGCATTTTCTTGACTGGAATTTGATGGATTTCAGATGTTTAGCTTGCCAAATGCAGCTTGGGAAGAAAGGAAGCAAATGAAAAGTCTAGTACATGCAATGAAGAGGAACAAATTACTTGAGATTAAGATGGTATCACAAACTGAAGATAAAAAAATGTGTTTTAGCTCTCAAATTCCCCTGGTGAAACCTTTAGCTTCCTAAAATCTGAAAAAGACCCCTAGTGCCCAGGTGCTTTTCTTTTTTCTCCAGCTTTGTCAGTTTACCTGGTATTGATTCTTTCTTCAAACTTTGCCCTGCTATACTGTTACACCAGTGTGCTGTGATACTGCTGCTGTTTTAAACCCAAAGTCAACTTATCCCTGGGAAATGCATCTATAGAGAATTGCAGAAAGAGCAGCTCAGATTATACAGCTACACCTGGGCAGTGCTGGTACAACTGGGAGAAAAACACAGAGACGATGCTTCATGTCCAGCCTCTTCTTCTGTGGCTACACATTAGGTGCCTCACCAGCCCAGGCTCTTGAAGGAGGAATGGCTTTTGCATTGAAGAAGCACTGATTGTGATCCACTGCACAGAGTTTTGACACTGTGCACTTTAAAGGGAACATTTTGAAGTTAATCTCTCTGGCAGCTCTCTGCAATGTGAGGTTGAGTTTTATGAAGCCAGTGCTGTAAAATGGAGCAACTTTGGGTTGGTGCAGTACCTAAGTAATCCCAAGAGCACTTCGCAAAGTGGCAAAGTACATATGAATACAGCGTGTGCGTAGGCAGGAGATAACAAGGAGCTGAGGAGAAGAACAGTTTTGCTGGGGAGGAGGTGGAATGAAGTGGGAGTGGGGCTCCCAGCCCCAATGCTGAGCCTCTGCAGCACCTTTAGCTGCTGCATGGCCAGGCAGGAGTGAAGGACGAGGTGCCAAGGGGGCAGCTGGTGCAGGCTGGATGAAGGCGGGGGGGCACAAGCATGATAGGAGTGTGTTTGGCAGGGCAAACCTGATTTTGCGTTGGCCTCCGGGCATTTTATTTCCCTTCATGTCTCTGCCATACCAGTTCGCAAGACATGATTGGCAGCTTTCCCTTGCAATTTATTTGATCATGGTAATTTTTTTGACAGGCTTCTTTGTGATTTTTTAATATATCAAATAGAGTTTAATAATAGCCTGCTATTAAGTCCTTTTGTTTTTCCCTTGGGATTTTCTTATGACTGTTGCCTCTCTTACCTATTTGAAGCTCTGAATCTCTTTTCCAACTGTGAAGAACTTAGCAGTGTGAGTGCATGCATAATATGTAAAAACATTTAGCAAAATTGTTGTTATGCTTGGGAATTAATAAATGCCAGTATTGAGAGTAATGGAAGTGTAAATCAGGCTTGCCTAATTTACAGTGGTATTCCTATTAAACTCAGTAGGACAGGTTGGATGCAGGATGGTCCAACCGCAGAAGTTTTTATTTTACTTTTAAATTCAAATTTTATTTCCACTCATCTTTTGAAGATGAATTTTGTCATTGGCTCCAGGATGAAGTGACCTCTGAAGAGAAAAATGTCAGCGAGAGCAAAAGTGAACAAATTAAAGTAAATTCTGCAGTATGCATAATGGTTTTGAATTATCAAAGACTGTAAAAAGTAAGTGGCTATATGCATTTAATCAAAGTAGGGTAAACACATCTGAATGGTACCTAATGGTACATTATTGTATTCTGTAATGGGGGAGACAAAATCCTTTTGTTTTCCTTATTCCCCTGAAACTGTTGGTGCTGTATCTTTCACTGTTTTCTATCTCCACACATGGTAGGCTTGTTTTTTTCTGCTCTTTGCTTTTACTGGTATTTTTCAAGAAAGACATAAATTCTTTTCTTCTACTCATTCCCTTCATATGCAATATTGAAGCAGGGATAGCACAAAGACTGATCTCAGCCATCAGTATTCAGTTGCACAAAGGGAGACTTGACTCTTTCCCTATCTTTTCTTGTCTGCTTGCTACCACTCCAGTTGTTTAGCCCCTGTATAATCATTCAGATTTCTCCCCTTCTCCTCTCCAACTCAGACTTTTCTGTGGCCCCTGCCAAAAAAGATATGTGCCAGAGATGGCTACATTTTGCAGAATTTGGAGTCAGAGTTCACAGGTAGATACTGCCTTGTGCCAACAGCTGATGGTATTTGCAGCAGTGTGAGGGGAAGGTAACACTGTTAAGCCCCGCATGCCAGCAGCAGACGCAGATTTGCAGTTGTGGTGTACTTGTGGGAGAAGGGCATAACAGCAGTAACAGGATGGCTGCTGGTAGGAGCTGTACCAATTCAACCCTCTGCCTATCTGTTGGAAGGATAGAGGAGAAGATACCTAAGTGTGCCCACCCACATCAACAGTAAGGATCATATAAGAAGAGGAACTGACAGTGATTTGCAGAGTAATCCCTCTTCTGTAGAAAGCTTAGACATGCAAAAGTCTTCAGGTTCCAGCAACTGTCCCTAAAGCCAGTCAGTTCAGAAGAAGATGATTTTTGTGGTTTGATCTTACCACTTGAACATATATGGATTGAACAAATTTCCTGATTTAAACCTTTATTAAATGGGGAATATTTTTCAAGGTATTATGCAGCCAAGGATTATTTCTTTGTCTGCAGTGTGGAATTCCTTTAGTCTTTTTACATTTTCTCTTTTGTCTCTCTTTCTCCTTCTTGTTTGCAATGGCATTTGTTATGACCATTGGAAGGAAATGTTTTTCTGCTTAGCTAATATTTTGGTTCCTCTTGCATAGTTAGAGGACTTCAGTGGGGCTGCATTGAGGTCACACACCACAGCTGTATGGTGGTGATGGCTAGACAAAAATTTCCATGCATGTTGAAGAGCATGGCTCAGGAGAGCCACTCACGGTAAAGGAGACAAATTGTACATTTCAAAAAGATGGGTAAAATAACTTTAAAGGAGGAAAATTACATCATAGAATGGTTTGGGTTGGAAGGGACTGTACAGAATATCCCATTCCAACTCCCCTTCCGTGGGCAATGACACCTTCCACTAGACCAGGTTGCTCAAGCACCGTCCAACCTGGCCTTGAACTCTTCCAGGGATAGGGAGTCCACAACTTCTCTGGGCTGCCTGTTCCACTGTCTAGATATTAGGTTTTCCTGAGTTTTCTCACAGGCTTTCTGAAACAATTAAAACCAGCAGAAAGCTCCCAATCCAAGTTAATTTTGAAATAAAAGCTATGAACTTTTTAGAACCCATAGGCCATTTCAGGGAATGCTGCATTAGCTGCAGCTATACAGTATTTTTCCAGAGCACTGATAAGTGATTGATGATGCAAAATCAAGGAAGTTAATAAAAAGTGACACATGTATTTTGTAACCAATAGAAATACAAAGTGAAGAAGAAAAAGTACTGCTTCCTTAGTGAAAAGATACAGAAAGAAACTTCAATCCCCTCCTACACATCGTGTCCCGTTCTGTTCCCCAATGCAATGAAGACAAGAGGAGAAGAGGGATCAGAATTTATTTATAATTTTGGCACTAGGGATAAAAATAAATGGCTGAAACTCTGTGGAAGTTCTTTGTAACTTTCTGAATTTTTAAGTATGAATAGAGTGTATGGAGAAACTGGTATACACCCTGTTTCTTTCCACTAGTTTGTCATTGCCTCTGGATTTTTGTGTCTCAAGTGCCTGCTTATTGAAGAAACCAGGGGGCTGAATCACTCCAGGCAGCCCACAGGTCTGGTGACTTCATTTCCTGGGTTATATAAAATCCAAACTTCCTAACAAATTGTCTGCAGGAAGTGTTTACCACATTGATATAGAACAATTAGAGTGCACAGAAACCTGGCCGGGTTGAAAAAACAATTATGTGAAATATTGGCATTATTTATAAAGACCTTTAAACACAGTCTTTATAAATAAGCCAGAGAGCCACCAACCAACCTACTTACCTGTGTTGGGAGCAGAAGCATTTAGTTAGCTGTCAGGGCTAGATTTAGCGTGAAGGGTGGAGACCTGTGTGGAAAAAATGCAATTAAGGCATTATGTCTAGTTTGTTCCATTCTCTCTAATAAATTGTTCACCTGTGTAGAACAAGAGATCTTATATTAATATTTCTTAACATGGATATTCATGTCTGCTGAGGTCCCTAAGGTTTGGATTTAAATAGTCCAGTTAACAACTGAGTATGTTGTTTAGTGTGGGGAGATGCCTCCTGCTGCAAAAATTTGCTCCTGTTCTGAGCTGTTTGGAGCCATGAAGAATGAGAGCTCCCTGCACTGACTTGGTGATGCTGCAGGAAATAAAGTTGACAGAAGCAAGAACCAGCCATTAATCTCTCACTCTACAGAGTTAAAAGTTAGACAAGTATTTCCCTACCCTGTGTAGTCTGCAGGCTCTTGGGTACCTATTTCACACCAAAAGTGCAGCTTTCCCCTGACAAATATTTCTTTGTAAACCAAAACAGCAAGAAAACAAAAAGAAACAGAAACCTGTTGACAATATGCCACTTTCAAATTCATGGTTTTGCTTTCCAAAGCCAAAATAAGCAACTTATAAGAAGTTATTGGCTTCTTATGGAAGCCATGTTTGGTAAACCTTGATTCTCTCAACAAGTTCTGTTAGTTAGTTTTATGGTTTGCAAGGATGGCAGCCTTCTGTTCATTTAATATTACAAATTATACCTATCAAGAGGATTTTTATCAACATGTAAACAGAACCTTGGCCTGGAGTCTGAGAAGAAGAAGGATGCAGCTTCTGTGATTCGCTGTCCAGCATTACCTTTATGCAGAAGATGAAGCAGCAGAGGAATTGGGAAAAGTACATCTTCACATTCAGCTGGAAATGTGGAAAGGCAGAAAACAAGTCAGCAAGCTACGTAAGTGAGCTGGTATTTGGCTGTTTCAGCATAACTTTAAGTAAGATCTGAAACAGATATTGCCTTGACTGCTATTTTGTATGCAGCAATGGAAATTTGTTCTCTGAATCGTGACTATCTCAGGGGTTCTTGCTTGGAGGTGAAGAACGCTCACCTCTGGGGAGTCCCCAGTGTAACTTTTTGTCCTTAGATTCTTAAGTCAGAATCCTTGGTGGTACACAGGACTTACTAAAATTCAGACACTAAGGAGATTAGTGTTACACACCAATAGTGTCAAAGGATTAAATTTCCCAAATGAGTCGCTTAAGTGGTGCATAACTTCTTTGAGCCACATGTTTTCTGTTATGGAAATTCTGTGTTAGAACTATTTGTCAGAAGGCTAATTGTTTAACCTTTGGGTTTTTTGCTTTTAGTTAATAGCATTCATATCTCTTGCTATGAAATTGTAACTTTTTTTAGTTTCTCAAGAAAGCCTTGCTTCTGCTAAGTATCTGGTTAATTTCTTGCCTAACTTCAGTGACATGTTTGGCTATTGCAGGGTCTTTAATATGTTATCTTTGTAGAAGGCTGTAATACTGCAGTCTGCAAATTTCCCATTTAAAGCAGCACTATTTTTTGAAGACCATCTCCATTGGTATAAAATGTCTTTCTCACTTTAAGTTTTCTTACCTGTGGAAGGATTGTGATATTTCATTACTCTGACAAAATACTGAGACCCCTGGGCAGCAAGACTTGTATGGCTCTTAAATATCATGCTACACTTAATTCTGTGTCAGGACTCCTAAATAGAAATAGTATGATTTTCAGAGATAGGGAGCAAATACAGCTGAAATGAAACCTACGTCATCACTCTGTGTATGTTAAAGTGCTTAACTATATTGACTGCTGGAATCGGGATCTCACGAAGGAGTACGGATTATTACTATGTGCTGAAACTGTCGGTATTTAAACTTGAATATAACCAAATATAGGGCTAGAGACCTAAGCTTTTGCATCAGAATTTGGAGAGAGTTTGACATTTACAAATTTTTGAGCTTTTATTTTGTTGCAGTTTTGGCAGACCCAAAGCATCTGAGAGGGAGCATCTAAAATTACTAAATACTTTTAAGCTTTTGGCCTTAGAATTTAGACTCTGCTACCCATTTTGTCTTTTCTGGGATGCAGCCACTTAAAGCACAAGTTTTAAAGATTCAAATAGAGATACCTTCTTCAATTCATGTCGTAATTCATGTTGGTATCTAAATCAATGTCCTCCAAGTTTATGCTGAAATTTGTAAAGAGAACTCTTAACATATGTTTCATGTTAGAGAATGAAAAAGCCTTTTTGCAGTTTGTCTCAGCTTTAAGTTGTATTGTAGGCTGTGACTATGCATGAGAAATACATACATGTAGACTGAGCTCTTGCTGTGTCAGTAAAAATTATATGCCTTATACCTATCAAGAGGTGCATCATTTATTGCACGAATCAACCTTCAGAGCTATTAAACTGCTTCTGGGGAATTTTTTAAAGACTGCTGGAGCCCTCTGAGATTTCATTCTCTGTTCTCCGAGTCTGCCTGTTATAATTTTAAAACAAACAAATAACTTCCCTACCCCTCTCAACCCCAATCAATCCTGAAGAAAAAACTGTCCGCTTTAGAAATGTGGTAAATGTGGAGAGAGTAAATGGCATTTTTTTTTTTTTTATGATCACCTTGTATTTGGGAGGGAAGATCTGAATGGTGATCATCAGAAATGTCTGGAAAATACATATGTAAAGAGCTTAATGGAAAATAGAGCATGTACAGTTCTCCTCTTAAAACAATGAAAAGAAATTCTGAGTGTTTGGGTAGGAATATAATGGAAGCAAAGGTGATTGTTTACAATGTAGTAATAAAGCCAGGAAGGGTGTTTTCAGCTCTGCTTGCTCTGCTGCTTGGCTTTTTGAGCTATCATGGCAGAGTATATGTGAGAAATTGCCATCATTATAGTGAATCTGGAAAAGGTAGATGCAGTTCTCTCCGTGGGATTATTGTGCCCAGGGAGATGGGCAGTCCTTAGGTCTCTGGAAATCTATAGACAGGGTGGGGTCTGACTTGCTGTTTGGCTCATAGATCTGTCCCTGAGCTGCTGTGTCTGATCCCTTTAAGTGGTTTCTCCAATGTGTTGTTCTGGTTTTGCCTTTCCTGTCCTGGAAAGGCTTGAGGCAGTGATGCAGAATCAGCTCTCACCTCATATTTCCCAGGCAAAAATAGAAAAAGACTTCCATGCACAGATTAGGTAGTTCAGTGCTTGCTGTGTGATGCTTCTTACAGGTTGTATAAGATTCATGGGGTGTGAGCTGATTCACCTGTTAGCATGGGTGTGCATATTTATATTGTAGGTACTTCCTGCAGGTATTCCATGCTGTGAAACCCCTGCTTACTCAACAGCTTTCTTACAAGTTACTGATCTTAGCCACAGATGAAAGACCTGGCTGTTGGGAACTGTGAGGTTCTGGCTAAGATGCGGGGACATGGGGTAGATAGGAAGTAATAGTGTATGGGGGCAAATGAATGCCAGCAGTATTCTACAAGTACATATATTTGTTATCTTTACTCAGCTGAAGAAGTCACAGCCATCAGTGTCAGTGAAAGAGTCCTACAGAATAAAGGTCATCATCTTTTGTCAGCCCTGTAGCAGACTGGTGCTCTCATTAGCTGTGTCTGAGGGCAAGGTCCTGTCTGGCTCTGAACACCTACAGAATCAGAGCTCTGCATCTTGGCACTGGTAGGAAGGAAATCTGGCCTTCAGGCATTACTCTGTAAAATGAAAGCAGGTTCTCCTTTTATTTTCTTTTAGTGGCCAAGATGGAATGCTATTTTGACCCAATCAGACAAAATTAGTGTGATTCCATTTGTATCTGTCAAACTCATCTTAATTGCAAAATAATTTGTTTATAAAATTAGTTGTATGTCTTCAGTGTGGTACAAGACAGAACAACTCTGCCTGTCTTTCGAAGAATTCAGATGGGATTAGGGCTTCAGCGAGAGTAAAACTGACCTTCAGTTTGGTGGAGAAATGCTAGACAACATGTATTATATCTTTCTTGTTTTATAGCTACTAATGTAAATGCTGTATGCTTCAGTTTGTACCTCCCTTAGTATGACTTACCAAAATAAGGCTGGTATAAAGAAATAAAAAATATGGAAAAAATGTAGCAGAACAGAATAATTTTCTCTGTACATGAAAAGTATTTAATCCAAAAATCATAAAAACTCTTATTGCTGAGACTGAAAACAAGGACATTAACTGAGTCATGGTACACAATCTCTTGTTAAAATCTCTCAAAAATGCCAAATATCAGTTTGCACTCTGAAATTAAGATCCTTTTTAGCAGGCTTGTACAAACTAGCAAGTGGGATATCATTTCGATATGCCTGATGGTGCACACAACTACCTACATGGCCCATTCACCTCTTTGATGTCACTTACAGGTTCTGAAGGAGTCAGGGCTTATCTGTTCTGTTAAATTTTTTGTGTGATATATGGGAAATCAATTCTGGTTTATATTTCTACCCAATTTGTATAAAATGCAGAGAGAGGTGCCTTGATGCTACAGAGATAAGTCCAGGTAAATTCTCCAGTAGGTTCTGTGGGCTACCCACCTAGCTTGCTGTTTTTGGAAGGAAGCAGACCTGCTTTTGACAGTGTATTTTGTGAGTAGATAGGTCAGAGACAAACACTTCTAATTGCATTGAGCTTTACAAATTCTAATTTGCTAATTGCACTGAGCTTTACAAAAACAACTTAGTTAAAATTGGGGTTGGCGTTGGGTGAGATTAGGTAAACCATTTAAAAATAAGATAACAATTTTTGATAGTCTAACTTTCTAAGTGAAAGTAGCTGTGGGCGGATGCTTGGAGGTGCAGAGAAGCAGGCAATGAAGGACACACTGGGAAAAAAGTGTATCTCTTTACCAAGGTCTCATCCCATGGAAATACAGGCTGTCCTCTCAAGGTCTGCAGCTCTCCTGCATTTGCAGAGCAGTGACTGCCTGTTAGAGGAACATCCTGAGATTCCCCTCTGCAGTGCTGTGAAGCTGTCATTTTTAGCAATGTCACTGCTGCTTCCTGTTTATGGCAAATTCATAGTGGGAATAAAATTGTTTTGGATTATCGCTCAAATAAAGTCAAAGTCCTGAGAGCCAGAACTGTGCTGTTTTGACCACTTCAGTAATCCACTCCTGTTGCTGTAACTCGGCTTTTCCATCTTCCCTTTGGTGTTTTCCTCTGCAGGGAGCTGGATTTCTGTCTAATCAAACAGTGGGGGGCTTCCTAGGGGCAAATCCTTGATATTACACTACCCACCTTGTTGAAGTTTTTGGTCTGTGGCTTACTGCTGATATGGACAGTTTTACTTTGGTTGTATAAAATAAACCTAGGTGGTTTCTCTCATCTGAGGAGGCTGAGCATCTCAGTGCCTGCAGGAGAGCTCACTTAGCCTATTGTCTTTCCTCAGTGCTTTCCACACTCATCTTGTCCTTGCTCAGGAATTGCCTAGTCATCCTGTCTCCATGTGTTGGTACTGGCCTTAGTTTCCTTTGACCATTACTGCTTTTGAGGTCCTGTTGATCTGTTTCACATCATTAGTGTTAAAAATGAGTTCCTGCTGTCCTCTTAGTGTTGGGTGGTGATAGTCTCTGTCTTCTTATCAGTCACTGTTTGATAGGGTGAAGGATCACTAAACAAAATTATTGTTATGGAGAGGAAAATTATGGAGAGGCATCTGCCAATGAAGGATTCCATGCAACTAGTAAAGATTTTCTCCCTATTCCCTGAAATATCTATGTCTCTCTGCATTTTAAGCACAGGAACAGAATTGAGGGATAAAATAGCCTCTTCATTGTCATTAAGAACACTGCTTCATGGCCCCTTTTATAAATCAGTAACGGAGGGTAATGGAGTAGAAAGTTCTCTCTGAGATCTTAATTAATCCAAGCAGAGATGTGTGTCTGTGATGTGAGTTAGGATTAGAAATTA